CCCCCCCCCTACCACGTCACCGGTATTTTAGCCATGGCAAAGAATTCCACATGACAGTCGTTGAGCGTGGACTCTCGGAGTGATCCAACATCATATTTGCACTCCAACAGGTGGTCCCCAGTCAACATGTTCAGCTAATTAACCACAGATGCAAAATTCGCCCCAGTATTTTGTCACTAAGGCTGGAGTAGGAAATCTCAATAGACAAGATGCCTCAACATGGCCAAGAATTCAGAAATGAGACAACCATTAGGCAGAAGTCATGGATTTGATGCTCAACTAGAGGAATGGCCGACGATTGAGAGTGACAGAATTCATTGCTCGCACTACAGGAGCTCCCCATGAGGTGAATTCTCTACTCAAGGTGATCATTTTCAAAAAGAAACAAGAAAATTGGCTTTGGAGATATCACAAAGGTGGGAGGAGGGGAATAGAACACAGCCCTCCCGACGTTTCAAAAGCGAACAAATAAAACAAAGCGAGAGTAAATTAAGTTAAGCAATAATTAGCATTTATTATTTAGCCCTTTCAATAGACATAGTGTGCAATGAGAAGTAAATGACGAGGAGAGAAGAAGACGGAGACAGGAAACGGAGAGAGGGGGGGGGGGGGGGGGTGGNGGGGGGGGGGGGGGCGATAAATTTATTAAAGAAAGACAGGCGCGCACTAAGGACAGGGAGGGATTGAGTGATTGTTGAGTCGCAAATGTTTTGGATTGCATAACGCATTTCTGGTGGTGGAATGGGGGAGAGGGTAAGAAAAATTCGGATATGTTTCTTTCTTAGCAGGACGAATAGGTGGTAAAGAGATTAGTTCCATTTCCAGGGAGAGGTTAGTTTCTAAGGGGATTCGTAAAAGCCAGGAGGTAAAGGGAGGTGACTTCAGAAAATCCGGCATTGGTGCATGTTCTTGCGGAGTCGACCTTTGGACCGATAATTTCTCAGTGATTCCACTTGTCGATCATTGAAAGCACCTTTGCGCTTACTAAAATCGATGAAATTAGGCATGTCACAAGTGTTTGACGTTAAGAGGCAGAATAGGCAGGTAGAAATAAGAGAGAACCCTAGGGACTAGGACAAAGTTTAAAATACCTAAACTCTGACCACTAGAGGACGGCACTTTGTTTGTACAACCAAACAATAACAAGTGCGGCACTTGAATGCTGAGAGATTTTTGTTCTTAAAATGACAAAAAAAGGCAGGAAGTGCACGAAATAACTTACGATCTAATTAATTCGATGGCGTCTTGATTGGGCATTCCTAGCTCCATCAGAGCAACTGCGACCAGAGCCGGAGCTCTAAAAATTCAAATAAAAAACGTTAAGATTTACTCGTTTATGAAAAGTGTCAAACATGGAAGGTCAAATTAAGGTCACAAGCGATTAAATGACAGAACGCTAGAACTGCAGAAGGAAAAATCCAAGACGCTTGGAAGGCACCTTAAAACACCCAATAGAGCGAAATCAATCAGGCAATTAACTCAGCGGGTTGCATATCCGTACATTCGAAAGATCAAGGTGCAGTATTGATTAACTCATCGAATGAAAATGGTTTCAGAATCTTCCGTCCTCAATAGTTAAGTGGATATTTAAATATGACCACTGCGTAATGATTAGTATGAGTTAAAGGGAATGACTTTTCAAACGAAAACAACTTCCACAACATGAATAATTTTTCCGAATCAGAAAAATTAAGATATTGTAAATTTAGATAATTTGTGAACCGTCTAATGTAGACATCAAAACCATTTGATAATTCATGAGCTTCAGAAAAAAAATTATTTTAAGAGTAGGGAAGAAAACAATAAATTCGATATTGCTAAAATAATGCTAACGAGCCAGTTTAGACCAACATTTAAATTTACAGTACTTGAAAATTAACTCATAGAACAACTGAAGACAGAAAATTTATATTTAAAGTTAGATGCTATATAAGAGCTTCTATGGTTACTAAATATTCCTCAATACAAACGAATCCAAAGCTTTTTAGGCTAGGAAATTGAGTTTACCTTCCATAGCCTGCCAAGCAATGCACAGCCACAGGCCCGGGGGTAGAATGATCATTACGGTTATCATCACCAGAGACAGCTTTTTTGGGACCGTAGAACCGCAACCGTAAAAGTTCAAACCATTTATCTAAAATGTCATCAGGGGGGAACGATCCGTCTTCAAACTCCCAATGCTAAAATGTTTGGTGGCAAAAGCTAGTAAGGGTGAATACAGATATCAAGTAAACAACACAAATCAAAGCTTACGTGAACTCGAATTCCAACTTTTTCAAACGGTTCAACTGGATACTTATTTTCACAAACTCGAATAACATCAGAAACACGCAACCGTGAACACTCCTAGAAAACGATAAGTCCGTAGAAATAATATTACATTAGCAAAGGTTTGAACCGTATCTGTGGCTGGAGAATCCATGATAATAAAATTCATTCCTTTGTACACAACATCAGTAATAACCGGTTTTAGTAATTGTCTTGAAACCATTTTTGATGTAACCTCATTCGTTCACATTGGAGTACTTCAGGTCAAACTCTTGAACAGATACCGGTTGAAACAAGGCAACTGACTTAAAAGCAGCTCAATTAAATTGACATGCATAAACAAACTTGCAGTCGATATAAGGCATTTAAAATACTAATATTTATTAAATAAAAGATTTAAATATAAATAGATTAAATTTTATTGAAAAATAATCCACTAACTATAATCGTCAAAACGAACTTATATCAATAAATGCTATACTTTTAAACTGGATCAGATTTATATTGCTACGATCTAGTCATAGGCTATTTATTTCTTAATTATGAATAATGAATAAATCTAAAAATATGCCCCCAAAATATAGAACAAGTGTAGGCTAACTATTTTAATTATTTTTCCAAACTTCAACAGGATCCTGAGAGGGTCACAAAATACATTCTTAAAAATTGTTTGTAGTCATAATATTGGTAAGTCCTAATTGCGAATTTCCACTATTAGTTCATCTTTCACAATTTCTGTATGTTGATATAGTTTGATAAAATTTTGTTTTGTAAATTTCTAAAATTTTCCCTAAGATGTTAGTAAATGATTTACACATCCAAAACATTTCCAATGGTTACCTTATCACTTTTACCTTGCTTCGGTAAATTTATGTTATTAAAATTATTAACTCTAAGGTTTGATTTCAATTTTGCTTTGATGCACTGCTTTTAAAATAAAAGTCGGTATTGAAAATATGCCTTTATTATTTTCATCGTATTTTAGCCATGTTCATTTAAAAAAATTTGTGTTGTTTATTGAAATTTGCCATTTTAGAGGTGTGTCGTTTTTACGCCTTTATTATAATTTTCTCCATTTCTGATCTAACGATAGGTGAATGATACTGTTAAAAGTGTTCTTTTATTCAAACAACAAAATTTAAATCAATTCGCTTTTATTCATGTGACATCATCCGATTTCATTGCTCTAAAATCTATTTCGTCGTAATGGAATAACTCAAAAAATGCGAACGAAATAGTATTTCATTTTTTCTTCAAGACCTTTCATTGAATGTCTCTTTCGCTTTTTCATGAAATGTCCCTGATCATAGTGTACTTGGTCTTGATATACTTTTTTTAATAAACAGGAGGTAAAATGGTTATATTTAAAATTAGCGTCCGTGATTATCGCAAACCTAGCTAGTTTATATTAGATAACAATTCAGCGATTCCATTAGCCGAGAAACAGCTTGATACATTGACGATTTATTTGATGATATAATTGTGATTTCTGTGCGAATTTTCACGAAATCAGCGCACTTGACTGTATAAGTAAGGCCAGCCATGTCGTTAGAATTATTCAGGGAAGGTCAGGTAAGGTATTCCAGTTTATTTATTTGCAAGCTTCCATGTTTGATTAACAATGCATCTGTGTGAATATTGTCACCTGTGTAGGCATCTAGGTTCAGAAACCAATACACATAGATACTATTGTTAAGATCAACTCATTTTCAATCGTCTGGAATAGATTAATATCTATGGTACTTTCCGTTCAATCAGTGATGTTTTAACTTTTCCAAATGCGTACAGTCACCTTTAAAAGTATAAATTTGAACTATTTCGTGAAATGAGCCACAAAAATTTCTCCTGATTGCAATTTTTCTCACCTGAAAGATGACGACGTATAGAATTGTCAACCAGTGCATGCTACTGTAATTATATTGAAGAGATGAAAAATAATAGACTGTTAGATAAAATTATTTTCGTACCAATTTTAGCCATTGCAAAGTATTAATTTTTTCTTTTACTTAACGTTTTTATTTAAAAATTATAAATTTCTCTATTTCTTTGCGAAATAGGGAATTTAAGTCAATAAAAACAACTTACTGAAATGTATTCAAACAAAATTTTTATAACGCTCCAGACAGAGAATGCCATCAAGACTGTGGCGAATGCTGCACAAATAAGGCTAGACTAAGTTCCATAGGAATGAAATTGCTCCCAAAATTGGCACAGCTATTTCGCCAGTATCGAGAAAAGTAAACGCGTGGAGTGAATATCGCCTACCTGCTTGTGAGCCATTGGCACAGAACTTAATCATTACATTCAACTTTGACTACACTGACCTTGCAGCGACTATTGATTGGTTGGTGGCTAAGTCGTCTCCGCACTCACCATAGCACTTGGTCCATACCGGTCACACGTTCCAGAATATTCTATTGAGTATAAGTTTCATTGGTTCAGTCATGTTAGCTTTGTGCTCGGCTAAAAAATGGATTAAGTGCTGATAGACAATGACTGCCATTAAAATACAGCCGGGATGTCATAATTGGCAACGGAAGATTCAATTGCTTTAACGTTCATCCAAAGTGTTATGCAAGCGGAAGATAACCCAGTTAATAATTAATTTTGACCAAAAATCAAGATTATACGCTTTTAAAAAAATGATTATTTTTTTTCATAACCTACACCATCGTATAGAACACTGGCTTTTTGAACACATTGAAAACTATTGATTTTCTACAAGCTCATGGTAATCGTTAATTCTTTGGAGATTTAAAGTGTTAATGACAACAGAAAAACCTTAAGGTGCAGGATCAGAGTGCAGTGCTCAAGTGCTCAAACATATTTAATAATATTTGTCACTTGGTTAGATTGCGAATTTACGTGCATTGTTAAGGCGAGCGCCAAGTCTGTTTCAGTTGATCGGCCATAAGAAGATCTTTCTAGTTTGTGTCTGGCTTGTTGATAAAAGCTGGCGGTCACTTGCAACTTCAGAATAATATGTGACTCTTCGCAAATGCCTGTTACGGGGCACTGAACCCCATTCAATTTGGCCGCTCTCTATTTGCTAATTACGAATCAAGCGCTAATTGTGATGTGTTGGTGGGGGTTGGGGGGTTGGGGGGTTGGGGGGGGGGGGGGGGGGGGGGGGGGGGGGAGATTGGAATGAGTGTATACTACATATTCAGCTTTTCTCCCCCCCTTCAACCTCTGTTTATGGTACCACTTTCCACCACCCGATAAGGGATCTCGGAAGACTTTCAATACAAGTTAGAAGACAAAATTTTTCGGAGGGAAATCCCCGTAAGAAGGCGTTGATTTGAAAGAATTTTATCTTGCCAAGTTAATGAGAATAGTAAGTTTTGTTCTTAATTAAAAAAGTCCTTATAGAGTCATTTATTTATTTCAAATGGCAGGCATCTTGATGGTTATCATTAGCCTTTTAGCTGACTTCGGGCTTCACAGAGAGGAGAAGGAACATCAAAATGGGAAAAGTCGAGAGGGAGGACGAGAAGAGTGATTCGCAGATGTAGAAGACAGACCGTCCCAATAATTGAGAAAAAAGGTAAGGTGGGTACTTTGGAAGTAGTGGAATATGCCATACAGTGGGGTCATGGTAATTTGAAGTGAGAGGCCAACTGCCGAGTGATAGACTTTTTTGCCGTATGAGTATACGTTGCCCAGGATGCACCACATGGAGGTAAGACTATAGCATACTGCCATTTTAGCATCATAATAAGCATGCTAACTGTGGCGGTAAAAATCGATTTGTAATTAAAAGAAATCGATGCTCCTTATATAGACGAACATTTGCCATTTTTAATACAGCAATCACCATTTTAAATCACTTCTTTTACCTCTTTAGTGGACAATTTCACAAAAATCCTGAATATATTTTACTGGAAAACTTTTTTCCATTACTGATTGATTTCTTCCACTACCGCTGAATTCATAGCCAAGTAAAGATTTGAAAATAATGAAATTATTTTAGCGGATAGCAAACTTTCAACTCCTCAATCTGACTGCAGTCTATTCAATGGTGAATTTCCATTACCCCCCCCCCCCTTGATGTAAAATTGCTCAAAAGCGTAGGTTTTTAAGGGGGAAATGTTTAGTTAAATAATTGAAGGGTAAATTCGGATCGGCGCCGACACCCCTTTTATCTGACAAAACATGACTTTTGACGTAGCGACTGTGAAAAATCTCACAGATATAAATCTTTGTCATTTAAACTTTGCACGCTGCTACAATTTGCTTTCAATTTAAACAGTTCAACTCGTTTTCAGATGCTGCCATTTTTTGAATGCGAAATGACACCACTTTCAAAAATAGAAACATGTGACTTACAAATATCCCGAATAAATTCGCACCCCTTCCTATTCATGAAAAGCAGAACAAGTGTTAAAACTTTTAGCATGATAAGTACTATATGAACCCTAATAATTAAAATAAATAGTTGCTTTTTAATTGAGAAAATGATGATTGAAGGAAAAAGTCCATATTATTTGAGCTCAGTAGTTGGAGGTCTTGTCATATTTTCATGACGAATCAACCTTGTTTCATGGAATTTCGCGGCTATCTTATCCCCAATGCAGTCTCACTTTAACCGACTCATGGGAGTTTGTTGGAGTTAAGGTTTTCTGAGAGGAGGCGGCATTATGAACTTTAGGAATTATGCAAAGAGACCCAGACAAAGATAATTGGCAGCAGGTGGATGAGAAATCAGGTGGTTCAGAACCCACGTCGTTAGCATAAACCCACTAGATGATGAGATCCTAAGTAATTTGTATCAATAATTCTGGAATAAGTAGAATTTAATTAGATTAACTTTAAAGGTGATGCGGTTATAAGCCATCTTCCTGCGGAAACAATGAATCTTAAAATCAATTCTTCATGAAGTTAAAAAGTAGTTTATTGGATGAGTTATTATGTGCAAATAAATTAACGTAACAAATGCACATTTAAATCAAGGAAAAGTTTTAAATTATTTACTTTACTTGAAATAACTTGGAAGCCGGAAATGCTTGTACATTATATCAGATGAAAATTTGTAAGAAACAGAAAAGACTAATCAAATTATTTCTACCTAGACTTATATTGGGAGAAAATTCCACCGTCCACAATATGTTGGTTTGATTGACGCTTGCATTTCATTGCAATTTTAAATCAGTGAGGTTTATTAAATATGCAAAATGGTATCACTTCAGTAAAATTGTATATTATATTTTTGGAAATAATACGATTGTGCATTGATTTGCCACTTCAATCGATTTGCAATTGATTAATTCGAACAATGGAGATTTCGAATAATTTGTGAATAACTGTAATATTTATTTATTTATTTCAAATGGCAGGCTTTATGATATTTATCATTAGCCCTTAAATTTTGGGGGGTACATAAGCTTTGACTTCAGCTTCCCCCAAGGGTGGGGGGTACATATGTTGACTTCAGCTTCCCCCAAGAGGGGGGGGGTACATTTAAAGCAGTTAATTAATAGCAGTTCATTAGCAGTCTTCTTGCTTACCTTAATCTTTGACTTCAGCTTCCCCAAGAGGGGGGGGGGGTACATTTATAGCGGTTATTAACACAGCCCATGGGTGGGGGGTACATATATAGCAGTTAATTAATAGCAGACATTAGCAGTCTTCTTGCTTCCCAGTATCTTTGGCTTTCCTGTAGCTGTCTTCTTGCTTCCCAGTATCTCTGGCTTTCCGGAGTAGCTGTCTTCTTGCTTCCCAGTATCTCTGGCTTTCCGTAGCTGTCTTCTTGCTTCCCAGTATCTTTGGCTTTCCGTAAGCTGTCTTCTTGCTTCCCAGTATCTCTGGCTTTCCGTCGCATTGTGTCTTCTTGCTTCCCAGTATCTCTCGCTTTCCGTCGTTGTCTTTAGGACTGGACACCGAATCAGGTGCTTCCGTCCTTGTCTTTAGGGCTGGACATCGAATCAGGTGGAACCATTTCCTCCTGTAGGTTACATAGGGGGCATGTGGGTTTCTTGTCTCTAGGGCTGGACACCGAATCAGGTGGGTCTTCTCCGTCCCTGTAGGTTACATAGAGGGCATGTGGGTTGAGTATATACTTCCAATCTCAGGTGTTTTGCCAAGCAATCGTGTTCGTACGTAGTCTAAACTCAGCAACGGCTTCGATTCTTGGCCAAAGTTAAACTCAGCAACGGCTTCGATTCTTGGCCAGTCGGCAACGGCTTCGATTCCTGGCCAGTCGGTTATATCGGAGAGTGCCAACTGTTCGATTCTTAGCCAGTCGGCTATTTCGGAGAGTGCCACTGTCCACTATTTCTCCCTTGTTTGAGCTTTGAGTTCGTTGCACCTTGAGGTCTTGAATTCTCTTGGGATGTCGGAGAGTGCCACTGTCTACTGTTTCTCCTTTGTTCGAGCTTTAAGTTCGTTGCACCTTGAGGTCTGGAATTCTCTTCTGATTAAGGCTTTATAACTGTAATATCAAAACTAGCGAAAATAGGAAAATATTAATAAATATTTTATCCGATTTAATTGAATTTCGGATGAATGTCCTCAGTTTGATGGATAAAGCTTGCGATTTCAATTCCGAAAGTCCAATTGTATGCGAGATCTCATTAGTTCACTTATGGAACTATATCTACAAGGTATGTGATGTCTTATGGACAGTTTATCAATTTGGAAACCTGTCAACACATTCAATTAACTATGATAAAATAGCTTTTGGATGACTAATGTTCTCTCTCCATATTCAATTTAACTCACACTTTAAAAATTTATTAAATAATACAATAGTTTAATTTAACAACAAGGCTAAAACAAGCTGTTACAGTGGCCATTTGTGGATTACTTCAACCAATTAACTTTCGGGGAGGAGGAGGTGGGTAGCAATGCAGAAATCCTATTTAACAATAAAAAGTGACTTCAATTTACCGCCAAGATGGGCAGTAAAAGTGGGGAAGAGCTTTGTGATTTGAAGTTTTAGTTAAATTGTCTCTTTAATTTAAGCGATCTCCTTCACACGAATCAAATTATCTTACCGCAATAAGACTAAAATTAACCACAGAATTATCACATTTGGAAATTAAATTTGTACAACTTTATCAAGTCCTTTTACAGGAAGAACTAACAAATCGCATCTATTTTGGACTTTGCGAGTGCGACCATTGCTTGCTTTATTCAGCGAAAAAATTAAAAAACTCATTTTGTAAATAAAATGAAAAAAAGTTTTTAAAAGATAATACTTTTATTCTTTAATAACGTAAAAGCAGCTCTACATGGATTAATTTTCTACTTAAAATGGGGGTGAGCACAGTTAATTAGTTTTAAAATTATGCTGACAAAAACGATTTATTATAAATTTAATTAATAAGATGATAAGAATTGGTGGAAGGATCTAATTTAACTTACTTATATTAAAAATATAATTTGACTGAGAATTAATTTTACTAGATTAGAACAGCAGAGACTTTCATTCATTTGCATTTTCTCAAACGATCCTACTTTGACTCACTGCAGAAGAAAGCACAATTACTAACCATCAAATGGCAGGCTTCAAGATAATTGGCAGTAGTTCTTTAGGTGACTTCGGGCTTCACGGAAAATTCCAAAGTGGGAACAGAAGAGTGATTCATAGATGTAAAAGAGACGGATAGACAGATACAAAAGGTAGAGAAAAATAGGTAAGATAAGTACTGTGGAATTGGTCGAATATGGCATAGAGTCAGATCATGGTAGTTTGAAGACGGAAGTCAACTTCCAGATTATGGACATTCTTGGCGTATGAGAACATGTTGCCCAGGGTGCACCTCGTGGAGGTAAATCTATCTAGCACACTGGCCTCTAAAATTAAATGGGCGAACAATGTCATTTCCTGCTCATTTATTTATTTCAAATGGCAGGCGTTTTGTTAGTTATTATTAGCCCTTTAGCTGACTTTGGGCTTCACAGGGGGAAGGAACGTCAAAGTAACAGAAAGTCGACGGGTGGGGAACAGAAGAGTGATTTAGGGATGTAAAAGAGAGCGACACAAAGGTAGAGAAAAGGTAGGATGAGTACTGTGAAAGTAGCGGAATATGACATACAGTGGAGTGATGGTAGTTTGAAGTCAGAAGTCAACTGCCAGTTAATAGACTTGTTTGCCGTATGAGTATACATTGCTAAGGGTGCAACACTTGGAGGTAAGTCTATCGCACACATCGATGATTAAAAATTATACGTTTAATCAGCTTGCTACATTATTAATTGAACATTTTACTTTCACACAGGCCCTAGCAGGGAAACCAACTTTGAAATTATTATCTCTTTTTGAGAGAGAACAAAAAATACTTCTAGAAACTTAAAATTCGAGGTATAAAGTCGCATATTACATTTTGAATAAGATCGAGACTTATTGATAAACGATCTCTATTAATAAGTACTGGACATAGGAGAGGAGCTTTCGTTGTCGTCTACTCCACGTGGTGCACCCTGGGCAACGTAAACTCATGCAACAAAAATGCCTATTAACCGGCAGTTGACTTCTCACTTCAGGCTACCATGTCTCCATTGTTTGTCATATTCCACCACTTCATCTCACCTTACACTTTTCTCTACCTTTGTGTCTGCCTCTTTCACATATGAGCCTCACACTTCTGTTCTCATCTCCATTTTTTGTAGCTTTGTTGATACTCCTTCTCTCTGTGAAGCCCGATGTCAACTAGTGAACTAATGGAAACTTTCATAAGGCCTGATATTTGATATAAATAAAACAGGAAAAATAAAAATACCAAAAGCATCTTCCTGCAAATCAATTCTACCTGATTTCTACAATTAGAAGTCAATTCATTTAGAAGTGAATGGCAAGTGGGCAAGGAAACAAGTCGGTCTAACAACACCTGATCTCCAAATTCTTTAAGCCCTTCGATTATTATCATTATTAATTTTATTATAAGAGGATTGGTCCCGTTTAATACAATTCAGTGTTTTTTACTTAGAGTGTCGACATTATTTTCCGCTAATCCTAATTGAGGCTATGGTCACTTAGATAAATTGATAGTCCATACACGAAAACTCATAAAAGGTCATTTAGTAGGTATAAATGAGGGAATTTTTGAATTCCGCTTGTATTATTTATTATTCTAAAAATAGTTATCTAATATTGCTACACTTTTTTAAATTTTAGTAAGTTTAATTCCTTAATTGAAGTTTTACATCAAGGATGACGGCGTGCTATTATTAGAGCAAAGAAATCAGAGTGCTTGAAGATTTCAGATATTTAAATTAAAATTAAATAATGTTTTTAATTATTGGCTTAATTTTGTCCTCTTATCATCAATAAACTACTCAATCGATTTATCTGGGAGTTATTTGCCTACACCGAGTAACATCACCAATTGTATCCCAAGTGCACCTGCAAATCGTGTATTGATATCGTCTATACTTTGTCTATACTTTTATAGCCTACTTTGAAAGTCTAACGCGAACCCCTGTCTCATTTCTCGCTATTTTACCATTCCAAATCCCTTTCCATTTGCACAATACACTTTTGGCTTTCAGGGGTGTGCGATAGACTTACCTCCACGTGGTGCACCCTGGGCAACGTATACTCGTGCGGCAAAAAAGTCTATTAATCGGCAGTTGACTTCTGACTTCAAACTACCATGACCCCACTGCATTTCATATTCGAATAATTTCACAGTACTCACCTCGCCTTTTTTCTACCTTTGTGTCTGTCTGTCTGTCTATTACATCTGTGAATCATTATTCTGCCCCCCTCTCGACGTTTTTCAACTTTGTTGTTCATCTTCCTTTCCATGAAGCCTGAAGTCAACTAAAGGGCTAATGATACCTATCATAACGCCTGCCATTTGAAATAAATTTATACTTTTGGCTTTCATTTAGTTGTCGACGTATCATTTGGCATAGCTAAGGCTGCCCTATTAATCATTTGGAAGGTTGTTAGTAGCATGG